TTCATTATGGAGTTATGCATGGCACATCTGCGTTCAACCTTGGCTATTCGATGATCCGCTTCCCAAAGTGAAATCGACAACATACTGATGCGGCGTTGGATCAACAACCAGGCCATTGCGTACAAGACTCGTGTACTCTGCAATCTTCATGTCAAGCCTGCCATTCTTGTACATGTCCTTCAAGATTGGAAGCAACGAGCCGCTGCTTTTCCTGTTGGGTGCTATTGGTCTCAGAAAGTCCATCATGTGTGTGCAAGCTCGGTCACCAGCCTTGTGGACTTGGTCAACATAGTCGGCGGCCTCCATGTCAAGCTTGAAGGGTCCGCAAAAGAGGCGCATGAAGCTGACCATCGCCTTCATGTCCGACTTGCGTTGTCTACAAACACCACCATCCCAAGGCCTCGGCGTTGATGTGAACCAGTGGAACCATGTGTCTTGTGGTGTCTCGACTCCGCTCTTGCGACGTTTTGGCCGGCTCTGCTCCTTGCTGATGGTACTTTCTCCGGTGGTCATCTCAACTTCTTCTGTAGTTGTGCTGCTTGTGGTGGCCTGTGCTCCTGAGATGTGTTTGATCTCCTGCCTCAATCGCTTGTTCGTCTCGATGAGCTCAGCTATGACGACTTCTTGCTGGGATGAAGTCAATTGCTGCTGGTTTTCCCCCATTGATGTTGTACAAGATGCATGGGGTCTCTCGATCCTAGCCGATATACCAAGGGCCTCGTCAATGCAAATACCAACCAACGCGAACGAACTTTGGATCTTTGCAACAACAGGGGCTTCGGGACTCAAGAGCATCAAAGTGGGCAGGTGGACTAGCAACACAGCCATGAAGAGGTCGAGGACGTCGCCAGTCCTCTCGAAGCCGCAAAGAGATGGTTCCGAACTTGCTCAACCTTCTTTGCTGTTCTGGCGTCAAGCTTACTCAAACCCGGCACGTGAAGTTGACTGTCGCTTGGCCATCCACTCAACACCTTGGCCACTCGCATGTCTTCTGTCGACGTGTTGCAAATGTAAGCGAATGCTTTGTTCGTTGACGTAAGGTTCCAGGCGCCTCTATCAAAGATCCATTGGAGTGCCAAGGTATGGTCTCCATTCGCGAACTGCGCCCCACCACGCCGAAAGCTATGGGAAGTCAAGTCTGTCCGTGCACCTGCTTGGTTCGCAACTCGCTTCAGCACTCTATTGATGTAAGCATGCACGCCCGCTTCAACGTTCGAAGGCAGCTTTGCTCCGCCCAGATCAACTTGCAATACTTCGTGTGCGCTGTCAAGGACTTCGAGCAATGGAATCTGGGTCAGTTCACGCGTTGCATATGCAGGAGCCGCCTGAGGTACATTCGAGAAAACCATAATGCTTGGGCTTTTCTGACACATTGTAGCCACAGCACAGGCAAAAATGGGGCAAGTTCTGAAGTTGTCATCTGGCATAAGGGTAAGCGCTTGCTCCTCCGACGTCTTCATTCTCAAGAACGTGAGGGTCAAGCTTCCCCCTGGAGCAACTTCGATGAATTGTTTACGCACTCCGCCAACATCCGATGCCCTTCCAAAGCAGTGCCACAAGACGACAAGCATGGCGGCATCTTGGTAGTCAGTGTAGCATATAGCATGGGTGTAAATAAAGTTTGTAAGCGTCTGCAACTCCACTTTCGTGCAGGCCGGCGCTTTCTTGATCAAACCCCCGGCTTCTCTCCGTTTGCAGTACTTGTCCAGGGTCTGCGCCATTTTCTGTAGCTTGTCGTGGACTATTGGCTTCAGATTGGGGTTCAACTCTAGCAGCCAGTTCTTGACTTGTCTAAAGTATTGCACCACAGAGCTCTTCGACAATGTCTGACCCCTTGCACCACCATTGAACACCAAGTGAACCCCAAATTTGTCCATTACACTTTGGAAAACTGCAGAAGTCGTGTCGCCGTGGATAAGTTGCAGAACACGATCGATGTCAGCA